GAAAACTACATAGTAAAACATAAACTCAATAGAAGAATTTCCTATATAGGTCCTGAACATTGGCGTTTTGCTTCATTTGCATGGAATATGAAAGTCACGTCCCATAATTAAGTCTTATGACCGTCAATATAAAGCTTTATTAAATGGAACATGAATTAGATGGGCTAACTGGCCGTAAAAGCGGGAGCTCCGCTTTCATTCGCTAGTAGTCACCAGTTAGTTGATGTAATACAGTACTCAAGCAACGCCACAGTGTATCTAACAAATAACCACAAAATATTACGCAACCCCAATGGCCTATTCTTGCGTTAGCATCTGGTTCACTTGAGACAGTATGGCATTCTCCTCCAGAGCACCAGCAGTATAGCAAAACCTCGAGTCACCTATGCCCACCTCCGCCGTATGTGGAGCTTACGGGACATCACCCACGCACTGAAAGTTAGGGGTTTCAGTACAACCATTCGTTAAACCTAACGCCAGGCTGAGTGCGGAAAGACGATAAACACGTGTGGTTGAATACGCGTATTTAAGTGGACGGGTTTCCATGGTAATATTTAACCAACATAGCAGTAGGTGTTCAAAATGGCAACCGGCGTTCTGCTTGCAGTGCAGGAATCACCTGAGACAGTTGGCAAAAAGGTTCTCCAATGTTTCCGCGGTGATGGCTCGGCATTCGTTTGCGAGGTTCTCTTCCAATTGTTCCAATGAATGCGGCCTTGTCTTGTAAACACTTCCGTTGAAATAACACCATTGGATGAAATCCAAGAACTTCAAATAGGGTGACTGAGCACGCCACTCCGTTGGTCTGCCCCGACCAATCCATCGCTAGTCGAAACTCCCACATAATCACGAACCGTTTGAGCCTAATGTGCAGGTGCGCCATCATGCTGCATAAGCCATCGGCATCCAATTGCGGAAGAACGCAGATCTGCGGCATTTCCATGTAAGATGACACTAAGATAGTCGTGGCATTAGTACGGCACAGAAGTAACCCACCGGCCACATGGCTGGAATAGGAATATCGCCCCACGTTTTGTCGACCAGTTACTCCAGCCCAAACCATGAGCATTGGGCTATGCTGCGTACGTGCAATTTGGTAACCTCGTGGATTGGATGCGGACAAAAATACTGCTTCTCTGTTCCGTTCGAACGGAGCGCTAATTCATCGGTAAAATTAATGGTGTGATTATCCATGAGATCCAAGAACCAGCAATTGAATGCACACCGCTTCTTCAGATCGTAAGGGCTCAACACATGCGCTTGAATTTCGCCATACGGACGACATTTTTTCTTTAATATTTGTTGAACAGCGTAACTGGTAGTGTCACATTCCTGGGTGATTTTACTGATGCCGAGAGCGGGATTTTCGAGCACTTCGCGGAGAACATCGGAAGCTGGAATCCCATCCGTATTGGTACGAGGCCAACCACTGTTTCTGGCTTTGCAAACACTACCAGTTTTCTCGAACATTTGCGACAGTTTCCAAACGTAGTGCCCCTTTACTGGCCTCACTCCGCGTTCATGCTGTTGTCTCGTCGTGCAATTCCCTGCAGCGTTTGAACCACACCGATCATACAAACGAAGAATCAGCACATGCAGACCAACAAACACACACTGTAACTCCGGCTGCTCAGAGGTCACCGAGGAATGGGCTCCACCGTGATCCATCGCTTAAACACTGTTCTAAAACAGTAAGCATTCTCCGCTGTAACCTGTTTCGGCCTGGCCAACCAAATACTAGTGGGTTGCTATAAAATGCTGTCGATCATCGTTGTTGCACTGTCCAAATTCATGCATTATCTCAGCGGCCTGCTTGCTAACCGTGCGCCTGCCTGTCCCACGCACTAGTAGTCCATCGGGCATTTCAGTAGTCTGAAGAACGGAGTTCATGTGTCGCTTTGGGTATAGGATTTTTTACACGCGAGCGGTACGTTGGTGTTTTCATACCCTGATGCCTTGATAGGTCTTCCGGCTCCATTTTCTCAATGCACCTGTAAATGACCTACATTCATCTCATACGTTTCACCTACTTTTCTTACTTCGGAACAAATTCCACTATCGTTTCATAAACTGACGCCCGATGTGGCATCGGTGCACTGAAAGTCGCTCAACCTGTCCACTTTGCTCACCACTGTTCTCGGCATGTGACCTGTCATTATTGCGATGTTGTGATAGGTCACGCATTGGAACTTTTTAGTTCGATAGGCCTACTTTTCCCCCTTGTTTAGATTGGACACACAATGAGGTCACTATGCATAATGCACGGATTCTCATACCCATGGCTCAGGGAAGTCTCCCATATTTGAACAACGAGGAATAATGATTTTATACGGGTTAAGAAGCACCGCTTTACAAGCCCGTTGCATAGTCTGATAAGTTAGCGTAAACGTCAATAAAAAAGTGGTTAGTATTTTTGCTGTCAAAATAATGACCTTATCGTTTTTCATGCAATAGCGGTGCACTCCGAGTGTTTCCATAGCTTCAATAGGCAACATAAATTAAATCCACGGTATTTCCCGGGAGTAGGATGGAAAATAGTGTCAAGTAGCAAAATGTGTGGCGGAGTACATCATCCAATCGACTTTTAAATATGGCTGGCGTGTGTGCTGAAATAACAGATTATGGGGGAGAGTTCCATGTTTGACACACATGAATGGAAAAGAAGTTTCTACGGCACGCCAGGCTGTTGTATTGTTCGGCTAATTTCAAGGAGTGGCCGCTAAAGTTGGTGTTACTGTTGAGTTGCAGTGAAGAGCGATACACATGATTTGGATTTCTTGAAATCATATACGCCATAAACAAGTCGTCTCTTAGTCGGCGATACCGTTTGCTGAATACTCCCAAACGTTTCAGCCTCTGTTCCTATGTAAGGTGGCGCATTCCCGTCACGTATCTAGAAGCCCGATCTTGAGTTTGGTCCAGTGCAGTAATGTCTTGCTTCAGCCATTGCTGCCAGCCTTAGATTGCGTATTCTATCTACATGGGGGCGAACATACCCATTCAGCATTGGTCTGCAAATGTGAGCTAGTTGTCTGAAAGACTGTTGCAGCAAGCCGAGGTGCTGGTTACCAGTTTACGATGCCTTTACAGATTTGCTTGGAACAACCCTAGTTATCCTGAACAAGAACGCCGAGATCGCGTTTGACGGATGACTGCTGCAGTACTTGCGTTCCTAGCTCATAGAAATAGATACTCTGGTGTCGTATGAACAGTACCTTGCATTTGTCCACGTTGAACTGTAACAGATTTTGGGTTGACCAATCATGTACCATAGCTAGACCACAATAAGTAAATTCTGATGGGTACCCGCCTGAAGCCGACGCATTTTCTTGATATGGTCAGTAAACAGCAGTCGAAATAATCCTATACTCGTAAAGCGATTTACGGTGCACAGTCATTGATGACTACAAAAAGCAACCGTGGACCTAGAACTGAGCCCTGAGACAGACCAGACTCGACTGGTGTGGATTCAGATAGGCATGTCCAGACTCTGTCCACTACTTATTGTTGCAGGAGAAAGTTGGCCATCGAGCTCAAGAGAGGGTCAACGATCCCATAATATTGGAGCTTGGAAAGGAAAATCCGAGGATCCAAACGATCGAAAACCTTCGATAAATCCTAGTAGATCACATCAGCCGCCCATCCAGAGTCAGCTGAATCGGTCCTACTCTACTCCTTGAAATTAATAAATTCGTTGTGCATGGTCGCTGTCAACGAAAGCCGTATTGCTCGGGTGCAATATAGTTACAATTTTCTAGATAACACATCAGTGCGTCGGCAATCATGGATTCTATAACGTTGGATAATACAGAGAGAAGGGACACTGGGCGGTAATTCGAGGGCTCAGTGCTTCTTCCACCTTTGTGAATCACAGTTGTTATTCCAACTTTCCACTTCGTAGGAATCTGGTTCCGGTCTAAACAGTGTTGAAAGAACAGTGCCAACGGTTTGGTCACTTGTCTTGCTGCTGCTGCTCGCAGTGCCTCTGGGCGAATGGTGTCAACTCCCAGGGAGCCTTGATTGTGCAGATACATCAACTTCCGAAAAACAGCTTCAGCAGTAAAGGAGATGTTAGTGAAGTACAAGAGAAGTGGTCCCGTGTAACCACGCCTTGAATTAAAGTGCACTCGGACGTGTTCAATCCCACGTGTGTTTGAAGCTCGAAGTCGGCTCCTTTACACTGTTGCCCTTGTTGGCAGCCTGTGCCGGAAGCACAGATTACTGCAGTATTGTACAACAGTTGTTGTTCATTTTTTTGTCAATAGCACTGTATCCCAGTGCCGGTTTTGTTCTTGTTGATTACGGCTAAAACGAGTTCACTCAAAGCTTCCAAGCGATTTGTCGCTTACATTTACCTCAAAGTAAAAAGCGCTCCTAACTAAGCTTGTGTGCCTCAATCCAGCTGCACATCTGGTATCCACAAAATTAATCATGGATATCGTAATAGTTCATTTAATCGCTTTTTGCATTAATTGATATAAATGTCACAAAGAAGATGTTACCTACCAGAGTTGTTACTGGTAAGCACTACCACAGCTCAGGACTTTATGAAAAAAGCTACGTTGTGAAAACAGACATTATATATTGTCTACTTAAAAACTTCTAAGATAGTGTGATTTGTCAACCAAAGGGGGTAGAAGCAGACGCAACCATTATGCGAGATGCGGAAAACATTTAGCCCACATTCACTCATATTGGATGACCTCCGCTAGGCCTGGTATGTCCCGCTAATGACCGTATCACTTTTCCCATAAAAGCAATATGGCATCTATTTGCCTTGGTGGGTGAGAGAAATTTATCGGAGCAATTCATTAACAGATTACTAAACTGAGAATTCTCAATGACCATTCTAAAGATATAAAACACAAAATTTCGTCTTTGTACATTTGAATCCCCATATTTCTCAGCTGATCGCGTGAGTGTATAGACACCCCATTCTTAACTTTACGTTCACGTACTTGCATCTTTAATTGAGAATTTCTTGTGCATTCTTAACAAAGCGGTTTAAAGAAAATGTAAACGATGTACCCGCGCCTAATGCCTATTACCCTCCAAAAAATACTGCTGCGCCGACGGGAAAAGTACCATTTAATAGCTCGGACGCTCGGTTCAAATCTAAAGGAGACCCGGGACCAGGTAGGTTTAGATTTACTATGATCCCATACATTTAAATATTTTGTGAATTAAGAGGCCAAACATCCATTTATCCCATTTGCACTAAAATACACTGTGTACACGTTTTTAATATTTTTGGGTTAGTTTTTGCGATGGATCAGCCTATTGTCACGTTCACTAAAACACATGCTGATACTACTAATTCTGTAGCTATTATAATAGATATTTTACATGACGCACTTAACTGTGATGCGCATTGTTTTGCCTACTCGCAAGTCCGGATTAAGATTATTTATGCAATACCGATATTTTTAAAGTAAGAAAAGAAAGCCAAATGGTGTATTGTAAATAACCGTTTTTAGGTGTTCTCTCAACACGCTTACCCTATCTATCAATTACTCAGCCACCTCGTCGTCTTTGCAATGGAATCTTAGTTATTCCATGAAACAGTAGGTCGTTGCTGATAGATTGACTGTTCCGAATTTTAAGCAATTAATACTTCGATAAAAATGGCGACTGAGCTTTCAGTCTTCGCGAGACACCACTTAAGTATCTCAAGTTTTATGCCACAAAAGTGGCAATTATTCACAGGTACCAATTGGTAGACTTCAAACGATTGGCCGTTGATTAGGAAAACGGTGGACGCTCATAATCGCATGCATCTTTCAATACATTTGACGTATAATGTATGCTGTCAGTCGGAACACAACATCTAGCAGAGATCAAACATCCTGTTAGCCCACACATTTTGAGTGTGAAGCCGGTTGATAAAGTAACACAACATATGCTTTGCATCGTACAGAATCTTGAGCTGAATTTGAACCTGCGTCTATCTAATGCATTGGTGTGGGTCTTTAAACAGGATGCTTTTTAAAAAAATGAGGCTACTGCCACTTGGAACCAAAATAATTCGTAAGCCATCTTACCCACCAATTAAAGCATAAGATTTTGTTATTTCAATGACCAGCGCAATGACTTTATCAATGGTTGTTTTGTTACCAGGTCCAATGAATAAGGAAGTCATTCAAGATATCCGAAGTTTCAGGAGTTGTAATTGAATGAAATCATTATATATATGGGGGCAATTTTAAGTGGCCACCTAATAAGATGCTATGCCCTACTTCTGTCTTAAATACAAGAAATTCCGATTTTACGCATGAAAATGTTCTGTGGATGGCTTCCGCAAAAATAACCACATGGGCGGGTGGAATCTCCTACGAAGTGAGCAAGGATGTATAATCCAATTCCAAACTGTCCGTTTCAGTTGCATACGTTTCGTCGTCAAGCTAGGCAACATCATAATTGTGACTTTCAAGGTCTGAAGCGCAGATCCCGTGAGCCAGTTGCAGATCGGAGTGGCAATTGTTCATGTACTGCTATTAAAGATCTGTTGTTTGAATCACGTGGGAAGGTTAAGTGGTCACTTCTCAGCCTTGTTGGCCTGATGCTCACGGCAAACTTGTTCTGCAGAGCTTCGTATAACGAATCTAGCTCCTGGTGCCAGTGGACTAAGTTCCTGTCCGAATGCCAATATTCGATGAACTCACGCACCATTCGATTCTTTGCTCTCTCAAGTAACATCGCGTTTTCCAGATCAACTTGGTGGTCCTCGGCATCCATATGTATTGAAATCAAAAATTTCCCAACATGACGCCGTACAACCAGTCTTTGTTCTCGAAGTCTTTTGTCAAATTTTCTTCCGGTTTGGCCCACATAGCATTTCACACAATCCTGGCAAGAAATTTTACAAATTACGCCAGGTGTTTCTTACTTACTTGGTCCTTTGCTTTGAAACGTTCGCCTCGATTTGTTTCTGTTGATTCATGCATAACATATTTCACGTGAGGCATTAGATGTCTCGCCGCCAACTAGTAATACTGTTCCGTTCTGTTAGATAAGTGGATACGGTTTGTGGTTATTTCCTCGACATCAGGTAGCACAGAACAAAGCTGGGGTATGAAATACGCCTTCCTAAGTTGCTGCAGGCTGCAATGTGTTTGGACACCTTTTGAAGAGAGTTCTTACAAAACTGCGCTTGTAAACAACCACATGGTTAATCCGGTAGTTTCAAATCCGGTTGGTATGCGTTGCCTTCCGATAGACCGTTGTTTCCAGGGGGCCAACACTATGTCTTATCACGAGCACGTCCAAAAATGACAACTTGATATTGTTCCCCTCCTCTTTGGTGAATTGGATGCCAGACAAAATGTCGTTGATTAGCTCGTGTTCTTCTTGTAGTCTGGAGCATACAAGGATAACAAAAGTGTCGTCCACGCAGCTTACTCAAAGCTTGGGCTTCACGATCGGCAGTGCCTTTTGTTCCGTTGCTCGCATCACTGCCTCTGCTACCAGTCTAGAGAGTGGTGAACAAATTGGCTTGCCCATTATCTGTTTGACCATTGAAAGTGAAATGTCTGATGGGATAGAAATCAAGCAACTACATCATTCGCCTGACTTCAATTCTGTTATGTGCATTTACACCGCTCCGTGTTGTTCCAGCAGGGTCATCATTACTTGCTTGACCAGCTCGACGTCAATCGATGTGAACAAGGCTGTAACATCAAAGGACACCATTATCTCGTCTCTATTTATTGGCATTCCTTTAAGATTTTCAAAGAACTGTTCCGCCGTTTGGATTGAATTTGCGGATCTTGTGGTTAGGTGTTTCAGCTGTTTCCAGAGTACTTTGGAAAGTGTATGATTCGGTGCGCCGAGTCATGTAACAATGAAGCGAAGCGGTACTCCATTTTTGTGTACTTTGACTAGGCCGTAGAATCATAGTAGTATTGAGTCCTCAGGTTTCATCTTGCTACGTTCTATTTTCGTAATCTGTCCCGTTTGTTCTAGTCTTTGTAGAGTACGTTTGATCTTGCTTTCTAGACGTTTTGTAGGGTCCTCATCTGCTTGCAGTTGTTTATATCCCGGAGCAGTTCTTGTGCTTTCTTCATGTTGTCATTTTATCCATTATGACCATAAGACGTCTCTTGTCTTCTGGTAAGATAACAATGATTTTGACTTGTTGTTGGTTTTTCAGTGCCTTTTATCCGCTTGCGATTAAGACGTTTGGTTTCCGATTTGTGAGACATAGAAATAAATGGGAATGAAATCCTGGTAATTGACTTGTATACCACGGACCATCACTGTTCTTTCTGTATCTGATAGGATACGATTGGATAGATTCTTAATCCAAACATCATGTACATGAATGTTTGCGAATACAGGTCCTACCATCAAATGTACATTATCTTCCCCCAATAAAATTTCCTTTGACCTGGAAGATCACGGCACAGCTTGTCCGGCGAGCGCTACTTCTGATGATTACGAAGGCCCACATCCAATTGCAAAATTATCCACGAGTAATCGACCAGCCAAAGGAGATATGCTTATTCAACCTCGGGGAACAACTGACCAGAATGCTTGAGAAAGCATCAGTAATCAGCAATGGCTTAGCAAAGACTTTGCCGCCTTCTTCTCTAGCCTAAGCTAATCCGTAAAGCGTCAATATCGTGAACAACCCTTAACTAATTTGTTTCTGGTAACAAAACAAACGAAGAACTTTATGTTAATGGGACGGAACCAGCCAATGAGAGCATTTTACGCTGAGGGCTATTGATTTGGCCATAAATTGAATGTACCGTTAGTTGGACGTTAAGCAAAATATACGTGCCAGCCGTACGCCGGTCTGCTTTGGGAAGTCGGGCTGATCAGAGTGCACGCTAGCAGCAGGTCATCGGTAGGTCAGCCGAAACCATAACATATATTTTTGGCGACGGAAGGTAGTGGATCAAGATGTCAATTTCAGCGGAAGACCTGAAAATCATTTTGTTGCAGCAACAGCAGCCATTTGAAACAGCACAGCTGTGTATGATTGAAACCCTCACCCAAATGTTATCTGTGCAGCCTACGGTCGTTCAGAACAATGGGAAGCCTTCGGCGGATGCGATGATCAGTAGTGTTAATGAGTTCATATTCGATCCTGACTCAGGATTAATATTCGATGCGTGGTTCAGGCGCTATGAAGATGTTTTCAGGGCAGAGTTGTCAGGTCTCGATGATGCATCTAAAGTTCGCCTTTTGTTACGAAAACTCGGAACGGTTGAACATGACAGATACATTAACTACATTTTGCCAAACAACGCGCACGATTTCAGCTTTGATGATACAGTTGCTCGACTCACAGCGTTGTTTGGAGACCAGTCGTCTCTTTTCAATAACCGATACAATTGTCTAAAGCTATGCAAAAAGGACAATGACAGTGTTATTGCTCACGCGGCGATAGTCAACACGGAATACCAGAAACTTTGGTCACTGACAATGGTTCTCATTTCACTTCTTCCCAATTTGCCGAATACTGCGCACAGCATGGTATCACGCATCTACAGTCGCCACCGTTTCACCCTCAGTCAAATGGACAAGCAGAGCGCTTCGTCGACACGTTTAAGCGATCGCTACTAAAGATGCGGGGGGAAGGAACCACACAGGAGATACTTGATACATTTTTGCTCGTGTACAGATCAACTTCAAATCCCCAAGTACCAAACCAGTTGTCGCCGGCAGAAGCACTAATGGGAAGAAAACTCCGTACTGTGAATTCGCTGCTAACTCCGAGGTGTACTAATGAGCAAGCAAGGAACGTTCGGATGGAGCAGTACTACAACGAGCGACACAGAACTCAAGCACGCCGCTTTTACCCCGGACAGCGTGTCTTAGTAAGAGGCTATCGCGCGGGAAACCCGCAATGGGTGGTAGGATCGATACGGAGAAATATTGGACAGGTGCTATATGAGGTTAATGTGGGTAATTTGATTTGGACCAGGCATTCCAATCAGCTGCGACCAACTAGCATCCATGCGGGCACAAGTGCTCGGTTACTACCGTTAGATATTCTACTAGAGTTTCGACATGCCATCTAATCCCCAAAGCAATTCGGATGCATCCCGCACAGAAGTCTCAGAGGAACCGAAGGTCCAGACCCGGCGCTGTACTGATCGACTACGGAGACCTGTCGTAAGAATGCAGTT